TTTCAATTGCCCTGTGTATACTTTAATCAAGTGAATAACTACCTGACAGTTTTTGTGGAACGGAGTAGTAATGCGCAATGACGATTTGGGCAGCGCGAATGGAATCGATTGGGGCAGCACGAATGGAATCGATTGCAGCAATGTAAGGTGTGGCGAAGAAAAAGGAGTACATCATGACCAAGCACCTGGTCATTACCAAACGCATGATGGCAGCGTGGGAAGGAATCCAACTTCGTTGACCCTTCGCTCATTTGACATATCAATTGCTGGTGCACTCTCACAGTAATTGCGTGCGTTTCACAGTAATTGCATTTCAAAGTAGTTGTTTAGTCGTGAAATTTCTTGTCGTCGTCGTCGGATATTGTTTATTTTGTCCAATCAAAAAACAGTAGCAATCTTGGCATGCAATTTAATTACGACCACAACTGAACATGAATTAATATATTTCCAATACAAATTTCAAGATAACAAGGTAGTACCACTGGGTGATTTTTTCCGTCGTTACCTGTACGCGGAGCAATACAACGATTTTTATGAAAATAATCATCTACTGATTTCCCTCCGACTTTAGAACAGGGTATTTTCGATAATTTCTATAAAATGATAGTATTAGAAGACGAAGGATTTTTCAAACTTGTCGAGTAACATGCATAACATGCATGTCCAATGATAACCATTGTTTTCAACAAGTAATACCTTTTAAAGTATATATTCTGGGAAATTGAATAATTGTTACCGTTTCGAAGTCGGAGGGAAATCAGTATAAACACGCAAATTGTCGGTCGATGCGTTCGACCACTGTAAGTTTACGCTGATAATGTATAGTTCTGTTCGGCGTGGGCGAACATGTGCGGATGGTAGAGTGGTGACAGCCGTACTTGTCCACTAACATCTGTGTGATGCTGCTGGGTAATCGAGACGAGGAGATCTTGCTGCTGTCGAGCAGAATCTTTTGAAGGATGGCCTCATGGTCTTCGTTCGACATATCACGCTTGTTGATACGCATAATGAATGTTGGTCATAATTTTTTGTGTTAAAGTATGTAAGATTCGAGAGGGACTTGTGCTAATGTCCTGTGAATTTCCCCCTCATTGGCTCATGAATTGTAAGGACTTGGCGCGTTTGTTCACTTGGACCAATCAAGCTCGTGAAATTCAACATAAGGAAGGTGGCAGACAAGTATATATATCCCTTGCAAATACTCAGTATTATAATGGCAAAACATGTATCCCCTCCGCAAACTACACTAGTATTATAGTACGGAGGGTGTATTCGTTATTACAGGCATAAGGTATTACTTACTTAAGCATTGGTTACTCCGGAGTAAAATTATACCTTATTTATACCTCTGAAATACTTCCTCTGTTCCATATTAATGCCGACATATGACTTCATGTTGCCCCCAAATATTGAATTCTTGTCCAAATTCGATGAATAATATCTTGTCCAATAGGAATTCAAATTTTAAAGGAAAGCTCTATTGACTGCAATGCGCGAAAAGCACATTTTGGCGCCCAATTTTCACGTCGTCATCGAGTCTCCGAATAAAATAACAAAATGCGAAATACCAGAATTATATTTTCGGGGACCTGAATACATCGACGACATCCATGGCACAGCATACCACCAGCAGAGAACTCTCGCACGGAAAGAAGATCGAAGTGATCCGTCGCCTGCATCAACTGTCGAACATGGGCAAGCTGGCTCGCGGAGCAATCGCCTTAACTGCCACTGAATTCAAAGTGCACCACAACACTGTCTCTGGCATCTGAAAGACTTATCAGAGAATCCCCCTGTTGCCTTCATTGAAAAAGGGCCACGTCGGGCGACCGCCGATATACCCTGACCTGGTCGTCCGTCAATACTGTCCGTGAATTGCCACAGTCTCTCCGCTCCACTATGCGCGACATATCCGAAGCACGGGCATACCACTTGGTTCGCTCCATCGGGCATTGCCTCGTGCTCTCAACTCTGTAGGCTAAGTGGCGGCTCAGGTCTTTAACCAATAACATGCATATATCATGTTTCTAAATCAATCAAATTGAAATGCTGCAAGTAATATGGAAAAAGTGTGATTTTTAAATGTCAGCACTAATACTGTATGTATGGAACAGATGAAGTAGAAACTTTTCATAACCTGGGCATAAAAATCCTGCTCGTGCAATCCTAGAATCGACTTCGGCACACTGTGATTGTTGTTAGCAACATAGATGACTTGTTTCATGCAGGATGAGAATGCTTGCGTTTGGGGTTATCGTGTCCACCTCTCACCAGACATGCAGGGCTCCATCACAAGTGTTGTCCTACTGCAGTAGGTGAGGAGTTCTGATTATGCTCACCCAAGGTCACGCAAACTGTAATTGCAAAGCCGTTCAGTACTTGTTTCTAAGGGATGGCATTGAAAGGTGTATCTAGAGGCCTTTTTGACGCAGCGAATGAATTTCTGAGCTATCCTTTGAAAAACGAAAATACTTCTCTTGTCCCTTACCGACGAAAAATAATCAGCACTTGCAGGTCGTCATTGGATTGACATGAAAAGCGCAAACTCAGCATATATGTCACGCGAGTGTGGAGTTTGAAACACCACCGCAATACCCAGGCCATCGTTTCTGCAAGCTGTCATAACTTTTGGGCCCATCTAATGCGCATGGGGTGTTGTATTGCCCTCTTGAATCAGGACAAGGTTGGATTTGCCTTCAGACCACTTGAAAGAGACAGCAGGAATGACGTTTGCTCGGCTCGTATCATTCACAGGCTTCGTCTCCAACATTTTTGCGGTTTTTTTCTTGCTCGTTCGCGGAGAACCTCGCTATGAAGCGCCAGGAAGTAGTATTCGCGCCATCTATCATATCAGATCCTTCTTAGTCCACAAACTGCTTTGCCAAGAACAAAATGTTAGGTTGCTCTTTTCCGGTCTCCGGCAGCTAATACTTTAACCAGCTCGTACGATTTGCAACGATACTCTCTCGTCGACAACTACAACATTTGTCATGTCGTCCATGACGATAATGTCTGAAGTAGAGGCATACACATGGTCAATGGCCGGTATGAGCCCCACTGAGGAAATAAATAACGAGTTGGCGCACTTACCAAAAATGACGCTTGGAAAATATTCGTGCAGCGGAAAAATGTCCCCAGTGGTACTTCACCACATTTTCATTATTTTTATATTGTCGCACTATTCAATCTGCAAGAAGAAATTGTAGTATTTTTAGCCAATGGGTGACAAGTATTTCTACGACCTAGTACATGATATCATGCATGACCTATCTTGGATATACTATCAAATCAATGGATGAACCTGCTCACTTTATCCTCGTTGAAATAAATGTCGCAATAATACAATCTAACAGATGATGTCATGCCAACCGTCCTAGGTTGGAACATTCTATACTACATGTGAGCTACTACGTAGTATTATAGAATAATAACTCACGCCGTAGAGCTCCCGCTCGAAGCCCGTGTGTAAATGGGTTCATTCCACGACGTAGATGTACATTATGCCGTATACCGTCTAGTATATTTCGTTTTAGGTGGGTGATATTTCACAACCAAGCAACATCAAGGGTCAAGTGAAGATAATTCCTTTTAGGTATACAAAAATCAAAGTATCGATGGAGCAGTGACGACTCCAAATGATATAAAGGTTCGGGCATGTATAAATAAAAACAGTTACTTCTATTCACACAGTTTATATTTTCAATGAATAACATACAATTTTCAAAACCAAAATCTGAAATATATTTAAACATCACAGCAATCCACGTCATCTGTGGGATCAAGTGTTGCGTCAACAGCACAGCTTGAAACAAGGTCCGCCAACACATCGCCAGGCACGAACTCTTCATGGCATTCTTCGCTCTGAATGACAGCATCGTCCTTCGCAATAATTTTGCACTTTTCAAAGCCATTCATGATAATAGAATTGGACAAACCAGACCAGGCATCAGTAATCCATCGAACCAATGTAGCACGCTTTGGTGCTTGCAACTTGAACGTCGTGTTCAATGCCTTGCTGTTTGAACTTGTCGGATGCTGTCAATCCACAACTTGCGTAGGTGAGTCTTCATTGGACGGATCCAAGCCACGTCTGCGGGTTGACATACCCATGTGAACCGTGGGGGTATATTTTCGAGCACCACATTCAGTTCCGTCGCGCACGCAACTACGTCGTCGGTAAAGTGTCCCGAAAAGTCGTCCCACAGCAACAAGACTTTTTCGTCGCCCTGTCTGGTCGATCAGCGAAATGGTACCGCAGGAAGGCGACACTCATTCCGGCATTCCACCATGCCGTCGGATTCCCGTAGATACGGCAATTGAAGCGCTCTTATAATGGCTCGACGTGCTTCCACACAGTCTTCCCAAATCCTTGACGTACGGCATTGTTCTCTTGGACCACCTTCTTGACCTTTGATGCTGCCGTCTTCAAAACCAGGAACATCGGGTACTTCTTTCCAGTCGTGTCAGCCATGACCATGGCTGTCGCTCGTTCCTTGGACTTGCCGCCACACTTGATCCAAATTGTGCTCGCGCCGCGGTCGTTCAAAGTCTTCGTGGGCAGGTACTCGTAGTTAACTCCCGTTTGGCCGCATTGCAAATGACTTCGATTTCGTGTTCCATGACGAGATGGGCAATCCGATCTGCAAACGTCGCCAAAGCTGCCTCGCCGTCCGCTTGAGTGTCTTGACCACATCGCGTTCGCGCCCGAATAGAGAGCCGATAGCGCTTCTTGAAACCTTTCAGCCACGACCAGCTTGCGGAGAACTCGTTCTCGTCCAGGCCAGCGTCGATGGCAGTTTCCAAGGCCATGATTCGAATCATCTGTGGTGTCACTGGCACTCAGTCTTTGCGCATATTCTTGACCCACAGAGATATTTGCTCTTCGAATTCCCTTGGTAGTATTGTGGCCGTACCAAGCTCGCGGGAACACAATTGGTTGGACGTACTTGGATTAGTTGCTTTACTCCTAATATGGTCACGCTGTTTGATC